CTACATTTCTGGAAAGCAACTAAAAAGGGTGCTGTGACTTCTGCAGTAGAACTTTTAACAAAAAACAAACTGACCCCCCACCTACCAAGGACCTTGTCTTACAGACCCCAGTAGAAAACACAGCCTCAGCTCTCAGTAAAGGCTTGAGACAGAGAGATCGGGCACTTGGCAGCTATAGGCAGTCATGAGCGAGACTGAACAAAGAAACCCCAAAACAATCTTAATAGTTATACAGCATGTTCTCTGTAGTTACGTTATGGACTCTCAAACAAAGCCGGCAGAGGACATTCCAGATGGATAAGAAATGTATTCATTCATGTACAAAACAATCCGTGTCACGTTCCATCCTCATAAAAAAACAGCTGAATAATCTACAATGATCTGAATGTAACAGAGTCTACACCACTTCTATGGTAAAGAATGAAGAGTCAGCATGGAAAGTTAAATGTAAAAATAGCAAAACATTCAAGCTTGTTACACAAGTATCTAAAGTGCAGTTATCAGGAGGGTGGCTGACATAATACTATGGGATTCTGTGCTTAATCTTTTGTTATTCTCTTTCCATGTAAGATTTCTTAATCTCCTTCTGGCTTTCCCTTCTTACGGGTAATAAAAACTCTATCATTTATCCCTCATGATACTACAGTCTCACAGTTAAACAGTACTTTACAGTTAAAGCCTCCCACCACCTACTTATACAGTGCAGATGGGGTTTCTTTAAAGTATACCATTTTACCTGAATATGTTAATTTAAATTTTGGGGCACATGTTCTGCCTAAATTAAGGTGTGTTCCTGGATTCAGAGGTCTTCTGAAGAAAACAGCAGTGCTGCTCTGTTTAGAGCTCGTCTTCAACTGAGAAGTGTTACACTGAATTGCTACACCACCTGCTATCAAATGTCAGAAGTGTATCTACAGAAAAAGGTTTAAAAGAAATGGTATTACTGAAATTCTTGAATGCAGACTAAACAAGGTGGTAGTGACTGTGAGAAACACTCATGGTACTGGGAGAATTTTCTGTTGCTGTTTCACATGGAGGAATTGGCTGAAAAACACATTCAGCTTTCAAAACCAGGTGCTGGAAGCAAATGCACTACAGCCAAAAGGATCAAGCGTGTTTCAAAACATACAATTTCCCTTCAGTCAAACAAGACAGCACAATAGTAGATTAAAAGAGAATTGGATCTAATTACAAAACTACTTTCCATCCCTTCTGCTCCAAAATCATGTAAAACAAGTTACACTGTTTGCATTTTAACTTTAAATGTAAATTAACTGCTCAAAAGGTTTCACTTCACCTGTCTGAATTAAAGTCCTCCTATTTGGATCTCTTTCTAAAGCAGCTGGATTTCTGCATGCAGATGAACACCAGACTGAGCACCACCTAAACGTGACAGACACCGAACAAGTCAGGATGTTTACGGAGAGTGAACAGAGTCAGCCACTGATCAATACAATACTGTTGCAGGCCTCAGGGGCTGCATGGTCTAAAGCAGGCTGCTCTAACTCCTCCATGTTCCGGCAGATATAATTAAGGGCACAGGTATTGTACAATACATGACAGAGGTAGATCGGCAAGTGATAGAACGAATATTCCAATTCTGACTATGGGGTAGTCTTCTGAACACTTGTGGGCAGCACATCTTCCCTGGGCTGGAAGAAAAGGCAGTGAAATGAAGTCTGGAGATGACCAATACTGCTGGCCAACAACACTGCCTTCAAAGCACGGACGAGATTCCTCCTGATGGCAGATTTCTGTTTATCACGTCTTCTCTTCAGTTCTGGATGACGCATGTCTTGAGCTGCATCCAGAGAATCTAGATTCCCAGCATAAGGTATGGTGTTGATCCATACTAAGAAAGTGATTTTGAGGTTTTTCTCTTATTTCCAAGGAAGAATTTTTCAGCTGACGGTCTGCAGAACTACTTGCTGCTTGTATGTGCCAAGCTGGTGGTTGTAAGGTGGCAGATTTCCTGGGTTTTCTTGGATGTTAAACAATAAGAGAGTTCACTGCTATCAAGTCGTCCAACACATCCTGTAGGATTCATATTAAATGACACCTGCTACTTCCCTAATTCCCTTTAAAGTAGCTGCTGTGTGAATCCTACTCAAAAAACAGGATCAAAGATGACTCACCTCATAAGATGTAGTGCAAGAAAAGTTTGGGATACACTGCTCTAAGGTTTGTAGAAAAAAAAAAAAATCAGCATGTCCTACAAGTGATATAAATAAAAAGCAATTTAACAGACATATAACACATTACAGGAGTAAAGATGTACGTCGTCTTTTCAGGCACTAGAAAAGGCAGTCTGAATTTCAGTGACATGCAGTTAAAACTAGCTTGCCAATTTCAGTATCACTCACAAGATCTGTAAGGCAGTCAAACCAAAGCACACATAATTTTAGATTATTTACGCTCAGAAGGATACACACGTAAATTACATTCTTCAGGATCTAATATAACCTAAAAGAAAGGCTGCTGGAATGGTAGTAGAGGTGTGCATGTTCTGGTCATTTGGAATGAAAGAAGCCGCCAATTTGCATATTTTTTTTAAAGATAAAAACATCAGTGGCAAATGATATGTGAATGAAAAGCTAACAGCAGCATAAAATTAAAACAAAAGCTTTTCCAACTTTTTTTTTTTTTTTTACTCTCAACAGTTTAATTCAACAAGATCTTAAAAAACCAATACGCTCCCTAGTTGGAAACATGTAGAAGAATCAACAAATTTCTTTAGAATATACTACTGTAGAGATGCCTTATTGATAACAACGTAGCTTTTCAGCACACTCTGGTTCCTGCAATTACAGGGAAACCAAACAGAGCCCCCAGATCCTCCAGTATCAAAACGAAGGCCACTGAAATAAAGGTTTTGTTCATTTTCTTAGAAATAATACCATACCTAGCAGATGTCACAAGTGACTGTTGATATGTCTCGTTGCTGCACTGCTCCTATTACAGGACTGTTTCCCTAACTTATGAAAACATGTAAACACACTGAATAAGAAAATTGGATACAGTGTGCAGAACATGCTTGAGAGAGCCTGGAAGTGAATAAGCAGGCACTTCTTTGTAAGCTACATTTTTAAAACGGTTCTGAAATCTCTTTACAAAAAAATATGCTTTCTGGATAATTAAAGACACTTGGTCGAAGACATCATTTCCCTACCTCTATCCTAGTTATTCCAACCTCTTTCAGTCTGATGATCACTCAAATGTCCCAACGCTGACACTGACCTTGTCTATGGAACTGGAGCCTACTGACAACAAATTTATTATCAAATTATCATTCAGGAGTCTTTATAGCGGTTTACAGGTAGAAACACACTGCTATCAGCATGTGCTTAAACCTCACTAAAGTCACTCAAGGTTAAGTATTTTTTTCTAGCCCTGAGTTTGGGTACATTTTATCCCAAGAGTCCAGGGTCAGTCACATAACAAAAGCCGCAATTTTATTTGGCAATTCACATCAGTAGGAGTGCTAACGATGGACAATGAAGATGCAGCTAAGCTGCAAACAGGAAAAAAGAGACATTAAAAGGGAGGAGACCATTTTAGTCAGTGCTGACTGCACTACAGCCAGGACTTCGTGATCTGGGAGACAGCTTTATAGCTACATTAATGTGCCTTGCTGCTGTGGGCATGTTTTAAATCAATACAGAATGGGATTTCCAATCAGTCTGAGCATTTCCCTTTTCTCCTTCATGGCAAGAAGGATAAATCCCTCAAGAGCATCAGAAGTAGACAAAAATTGCATAGCTTGGCAGCTAGGAGGCCCAGAGACAGACTCTGTTAGTTGCCCCAAGATCTGAAGAGTCACACCCACAGCCTCCAATATGAGGTATATTTTGAAAAACCGTGTTAGTTCAGTGTTTTCTTTATGCTTACTTTCATCAGCTGTGTAGGTAACAATTGCAGAAACCAGAGGGTTTGTCCCCCTCATTAACCCCCAAAGTTTGTTTTGAAGAAGGTTGTCAACTTTCCACGGTCCAACCGTGTGAACAGATTAGAAGCAATCAAAGTGCTGCCAATTATGGTTTGGGGTATCCTCAACAATCTCATTCTTTACTCTTTCTTCAGTATTTCTAAGAAGATGATTCTGACAGTCAGACCAATATTTAAAACTTGTAAAATAACGGAAAGAGATGAATTCAAAGCTGAACAAAACACACCTAAGGTGTCTGTCAATCTGTAGTATGAATGGGACATAGGGAGTAAGAAGTAGGGATAGAAAATGGAGGCATGTAAATAATGATTATAAAAAAATAAGTGTTTTTTGTGTTTTATACAGTCACCCTGCAGTCTCCTGATGGATCACCGGCCAAAGTAGGAATTCAGTTTCCACACACAAACAAGAACCCCTACAACGCTTCACTATCTTAAGTGTCTTCTGTAGGTCACACCCTGGAACATCCTCCACGATGTACCTCAGTTGGACTAAAGAGAAAATGGAAGCTTGGTACAAAATGAACTAAATGGCATAGGTATCCCAACCATTTTGCTTAAAATATAAATTGCAGAGGAGACTGTGAAAAAGCAAGGTAGAATAAAGCCCTAAATAAATCATTACATACTTCATTAATTGTATAAAAGTGCAAGATTAAAGTAGTTCAGGTTAAGCATTCAGTTCACTATAGGCCACACAAATGCTTAGCTTGGCCATCAATGGCCTGGTTTTGTCATTCAGTTACTACTATTAGTTTAAACCACAGAAAGAACAACAACTGAATGAAAAACGTATGCAATCCACTTCAAAAATGGTTAGTTTTCTGTGACCAGCACGAAATATTAGCTCAGTATCATCAGCTATACAATATATACATAAAAATATTGTGTCTTAATCTTTGTTTTAACAACTTAGAATAAAGCTGTACTAAACATTATTTCCCTAGTGTGCCAACTCTTTGCTCTGTTCTGGCCAACTGGCCTAGTAACACAGAGAAGTCCTTTTATACCAGTGGTACTTGAATTGATCCATAATTTTGACACTTCAGCCATAGTAACTGTTGAATCGCTTTATTCAGACAGGCTAGGTGATCGTGTGTGACTGCTTACGTCTCAGTCAAAGCTTCTTGGGCGGCTCCACAAGAAGAACAGGCCATATTCCAAAAACAAACTGTTAAAAGAAAAATAGGGAGAGGGGAAGGTTTTCCTGGAATATTATGTTTCTTGGAATAGAAACCAAAATTATGTTAATCATAATTTCAACTGCATTTCTTGGGATGTAAGTAGAAATCAAAGATAGTACCCTAGCAGGCATAACCAGAGAGCCCAATGCAAGTTGAAAGCACAAGATATCTGAATGCTGCAGTGCATTAATGGAAACAAAATATTGCTTGCTTACCTTCACCTTTGGCCTGTGTTTCAGGAAAAGTGTCCTTGTGTATAAACTGAGGAAAAGGAGAAAAGCGGGCTTAAGGTTTCATGTATAAAACAGCATATAAAAATAATAGTGATGTACTAATCCCAGTTTTATTGTCCAACTAGAAAAGAATTGCTTCTGTGATTGCGAAGCCACTCATTCTGCCTAAATTTCTGCAAAATAGGAGACATTAGCCTACAAGAAATCTCTCTGCTCATAGACTATGATTAACAAACTAATCTAACCCCATCACCTCTGTGGGGAGAATGGGAGAAACCCGGAGAAGCAAATTCTCTCTCCACTATGGAAAAAGACTAAACAGGAACTACAGCCTGTCATTTTGGAAGGATGAAATTAAATCAGTGTACCACAAAACAGAGCAGATAAGAGGGGTGGAGAAGCAGCATAGCTTAATTCTGTATCTCATTTTTGTTCATATACACCCTCTCCCCTCAGCAGATGTTTTCCTATGTATAACCTCACTTTTTTAAGCGGACATGGGTGGTGCCACTGTGTGGCTGAGAAAATACTAGGGAAACTACTGCAGGGAAATCATGTAGTTCATTGGGCTAGGACAGACAAATCAGGCATCTGCATGTTCACCAAGGGCTAGCGGATGCAAACCCAAAATATTTTCTCTGTGTAGCACACTGGAAAAACCTTGCCTATGCTACCCAAACTGTCTGCATCAGCTTGCTTTCTGCAAGGAATTTTCTTCAAAAGATCATCTCAAGCTGTTAAGGGCAGCAGACAACCTGTTAGCCAAAAAAGAGCAGCTGTTTTTGACATACCATGATGTATTTTATAGGTACACATATATATATACAGGCACATGTAGATACATATCCATATGTACATATAAGTATATATAAAAAAGTTATCAGAATAGCTACTGGCAAGGTACTTATTTTCCTTACTTTTCCTCTTGCTAGCTATTTTAAGATCTGACAAAAGAGGGGAACACTGCTAGATGTACAAAAACTGACGCAATCAAGTTTTCTTGACTACATAGAATGTAGCTGTTAAACAGACATTCTCTTATGGTTCAGTGGTCACTACTTCATTACATAACGAACAAACTACAGAAATTCTTCAGATTTCAGCTTAAACTCTGGTTTTGTTTCTGGTTCCACTAGATGGTGGTACAGAGCAAAAACAGAGACAAAAATCTGCTGCCTGCAGATCTAAGAGGCTCTCACCTAAGTCTCCTAAAACTAATAGCCTGCACTTTTGGTAACAGCTCTGCTCTAGCCACTTCAGCTATCACCCTTCTGCTCTATAGCATGATGTCTGTTAGTTTTCAGGAGTGACAGTGCCCATCAAAAAGATTAGTTATGCTTCTAAAATTAAACATGCTTAAGTACTACAGGATTGCTGCTCAAGAACAGAAAGATATTAATAGCTTACATTTTGAAATTAATATACTGTCAAATTATTTTGAAGTTTAACTGCTACAGGATTCCCATTTCTCAACTGCGTTCTCCTAAAGAGCCATGACTATTTAAAGATTAATGACTATAATTTGAAGAACATAAATTACTTTTAAAGAGTTTTTAGACCAGTTTCAAAGAGGAAAGAAAAACTCCCACCAGTTTAGTAAGAAGCTCTTCTGGACGATACAACGTTTTGAAGTAAATCTGAACCTGGGAAAATTCCTAAGACTGCTTTATGAACATTCAGTTTAGAAAATTTTTCTTACCTTAGCAGGATATGAAGGTAGGAGCCCAGGCCTGTGAGAATATGCCACCACGCATGAAACTGTGTCACAGCTCCCACAACAGGAGGCATCTTCTCTCGTAGTGCTCTGTAAGAAATTAACACCATGCAATGGCTTGCTATTTTTTCCAAGCTAAGCAATCTCAAATCGCAGAGATTGATTGTGAGATCACACATTACTGTTTCTGTATCTCAGGCATGTGCTTCACAAGGGAGGTTCATACAGTCAGGCTTTCAGCAGGTGAGGAACAGCAGTTACACCTTATACTGCAAGCATAAGAAGATATTAGCGGGCTTATTAGCTTTCTTGCACATTTAAAGAAAGCACAGGGTTCTTCAGTGATCTTGAGTGATCTGGACTCAAATTTTACTTCTGGACTCAAATTTCAGGGAATACATTTATGGCATCCCAAAGTTCCAAATGAGTTCTACCATTCTCCTCCCCAAAATCCTGTGAACTGCTGTCCATAGGATGAAATGCTGAATTTAAGATCTGAGAGAGGAAATGGGATCCGTAAGACATCATCACTTTACATTTGGCAATTGCACCAACTATTCTTCAGCTCCATGGCAGCTTAGCTCACCTTTCTCTGTTGTACTCTAGAACAGGGACAAAATGGGTGGCTCACGAGGAAGCAACGAAAGCAGAAGGTCTGAAGTACTCCGCCAACATGCTTTGTATTTTGCACGGTTATGGGGTGTGTGTTACTTGGAAAGAGGCTAAGGGGTGGAGATAGAGAAAGAAAGGGAAGGAACTGTGTTGCCCTGATTTCCCCTGATCACCAGGCTTCTTCAGAAAATGCTTATTATGGCTGATGGTGGAGCAAACGTTTGCATCTGCTTGTCTTTTTTTGACTTCCATTTCACTTTCAGTCAAAACAAAAAAGGAAAAACAATGAATTGTAAGTGTTAAGGAATAAAAATATGCAGCTTCTGTAACACTTATTTACTGCTTTATGTTATAATGTTCAGTTACCCTGACTAAACACTAATCCCTGCTTAGTTTCCAGAGCTGCTCAGTCACAAATATGAACATAGAGCTTCGATTCAGTCAGCCCTGGAATGACATAGTGGAACATGCACACAGACTGTCACCCCAGCACAGCCTCTGAGCCTTTGGATGGCAAGAAATCTGACAGCTCAAGTTCAAAAGTGAAGGGATTCAACCTGGGAAGTTGAGTGCTATAGATTTTTTTTTTTACATAAGCTCCAGATTTAATGAAATATGGAAAAACAAAACCTGAACCAAACTCCAATTTTGAACATTAAAACCAAAAAGAGCAGGTAGGTGGATGATTCACAAATTAGATCTTTAGAGAATAAAAAATTACAAGGAACTGGAATGTATTTTCTCCATAGGTTCAAGTTACAATACCACCTGGAGAAATTCAAGGCTCTGCAGGCATCTGATTAAAGCTAGTAAACAAGCCTATTTATTTTTTTCCAGCACCATAACCAAACAAGTATTACAGGAAGTATGTAACTTCTTTTTCCCCTTACAAAATGAGGATGGAAAAAGTCCTTCAACACTTGGTGTAATCTCTGAGTCTAGGAACAATTTCAAAAGCCCCACGGACCTGCAGCAGCTCAGCAGGCTTGGTGAATTGTGGGTTATGATCTCACCAATGATGTGATGCAGCTGCAAAAATCAACTCTGATGCCAATATTTACAAAGTTACCGTATACCCACCCACTCGTGCTGGCAAATAACTTTTCTAGTCCATCTGTATCAAGCATTTCCAGGGAGAAGGCACTGTGTATTATATTCAGTACACCTGTATCTTTTTTTAAAAGTTTCAAGAGAACTCTGTTGGAGTTAACTTTCAGTTGGCCTAATCTAGTGCAGGGACTAGAGAGCCAAAAAGGACAGCTGGAAAACACTAGGCCTCTTTACAGGACACTGTGATCGGATCCTGACAAAGCGACCTACTAGGACAATTCTGTACACCACAGATTCAGCGGCACTGCAGTGTAACAGATAGCTCAAGAATGAATTTTCTGGATGCCGGCATCAACCTTTCCATCTTCTCCAGCTTGTGGTGGGACACAAGCATCATGACAAAATGAAAGAAAGGTGCCATGATGCAGCTGTCCAGTTCCAGAGGAGCACACACAAAGAGAACAACCTGTTGGAGTGGTGTTTTCTGGCACAGACAGGTTATTTAGCCATACAATGAGATTGTGGGCTCCTATAAGCTTTGTCTGGAGGCCTTTTTTACCCCATCTGGCAACACACCGAACAGAGAGGAAGTCTTTCTTGGCCTCCTCTACAAGTGCTAAGCCAGAAGATTTCAAGCTAATAATGACAGCCAAGCCCAGTGGATCGGCTTACAGAGTTACTGTTCTGAGATGCTCAAACAGCTGTTGTTTGTCGGTGACAGATATATTGCAACAGATATTTCTTTAACCTGCAGAACTACTGCTTTTGATATTTTGCTGGGAAACAGCAAGAGCAGAAACGAAAAAGAAAAATAAGCAGGATAAAAAACTCATTCAGATGAAATCAACTGTGAATAGCAAGCTTTAGTAAGCAACAGATCCTCAAAATTACTTTAGGGACATTAGTTTCTCTCAATTTAAATTGAGGTTCAAGAGAAATATAAATTATTAAAAAAAAAAATCTATTCATGGATTAAAACAAACATTAAAAAAAACCTGTGGAGTGCTGAATCTAGTCATGAGCAAACTGGATAATACCCTCATGCATGTTCTGTAGGCAGTGTACCACACATACCATGAGATGGACTTGAATATACACCACAATAAAAACAAAGCTTTATGCTAAAAGACTATTAAGAGCTATCCGGACAAAGTGAAAAAACTCACCTCAATTTATCACAGAAAATGTTGTCCACATTCCAGAGAAAAAATCCCATTAAAAATACAGTTAAAGATGTATAGCCTAGACCTCTAAGCCATGGGTACACCCTGGGGAGAGAAAGACAGAGAGAGAAAAATAATGCAAAGTTTAGTTCAAGATGCTTTAAAGGCAGCTTGTAACATACATAAGTACTATTACATACAAATAAACTGCCTTTTTTTTTTTTTTTTTTTTTCTTTTCTTTCTCCAAGAGGAAAAATATCAACTTCCAGTCTCATCTATTTAAGTATTGTATTTTACCTTATCCCCTCTCTCCTGAATTCACGTTCTCCGAGACCGGTCTTTTAAATGTTTTACTTCTGTATTTCTATTTGTTCCCCTAAATACTGCTCTCTCCTAATGCAGTAAGTAAGTGGGAAAACTGAAGTTGGCTAGAAGGTACTAATTCCTCAGCCACATGTATAATCTCTCAGTTAGAAAATAGCCATGTTACAAATTAGGACTCTCCTAAAAGAAGCTCTTTTCCAATACATGGTACCCCTATACTAGGGGACTTGTTTAAATAAGGTCTTTCAAAATGACTGTAGTCTTTTGTGAACGTAGACCACCATAATCAAAAACTAACCAAATGAATGGTTTTAGAAAACAGTAATTTCATGTTGTATTTTATCTTTGAGTGCTATTGGGGATAGAAAAACGTCAGTGTTGTTTTGGGGAGAAAATGAGTCCTCTTTAGGATATGGGAAACACAATAAAGAATCAGATGTAAGGAAGTGCATCATTAATAATTTACCCTCACTATTGTGCATTCAGGTTGGACCACGGAACTGTAAACTTCCTACATGGAAATTGGTAGCATTTGCTCCTTTCCCACTAATAAGTCCAAAAGCAAACCTAATTCCAACTCTAAAAGGCTGCTATGAAATAAGTACTGTTCAAGTTATTTTTAAGCAGTATGAATGCACAGTTTAGATTCTCAGTTAAAACACATTCCTGAGCTGCTTTTTGTCCACTGTGTTATACACACCACATGTCTCAGAGCTGTTAACACTGGCAACCAAAATGTGCAAAACATAACAGGTAGAGCTTCTGCCACAGGGCAAGCTAACCAGATACAAGTTGTACATGTTCACAACAAGTGCACTGCCAATATAAACGAGCAAAATTATTATTTGTTTAGTCTAATAAATGCATGGAGCACCATGCGGTACATGGCAGAGACTACACTGTAATATTCTCAACTCAGTGCTCTAGAGACATAAGCAAGCCCAGGACATGAAAGAGCAGTAAATGGTATGTTATACATGCTGGTAATTAGGTAATTATAGCTAGAATTGTTCAGGGAACAAACGGTGGTGTTTTGTGAAGGAATGAGAGAGGGACTGGCATCACTTATTAATGGGGAACATGCTTTGTGATTAGAGAACAACATTGGCCAAGTTGTAATCTCGGGAAGGAAGCACACCCAAAAAAAGAGATTGAAAGTGTAGGCTAAACAGGCAGGAACAGCACCAAATGGTGAGGATAGGAGGTGGAAGCAGCCCGGAAGGAATAATGCCGTTCTTTGAGATTTTTACTCTAAGCTCAGAGCGGCTTCAAGACCTGCACTAAGAAATATAAGTGATAAGCAGCTAATGTGTATTAAGTAAGTAAGAAACAAGAAGAAATTGTGGTCAATATGTAAGTTGAAACAGTCTTGAACAAGTGTTAGCAATGTCAATAGAAAGACAGGAATATGTTTTAGCAACGCGGAGGAAGTAAATCCAAAAGTGTACCTGGGGATGACTTTTAGAGAAAAGAAAGGGTCCCTTCAGGTTGGCACAGCTTCTCTAGCAGAACTAATTTAAAATTTAGTAGTAGTTTAGTTAAAAATTAGAAGTAGTTTCAACCTACTTCTCTCTCCATCCCAGCTTTCTAACCAGTTTGCATAATATAACCAAAGGGGGAAGCAAGTACTTTGTAGGGCCATGTTACAACGCAGCGATCTAGCTAATTAAGAAAATACACTCCAAAACTCTAAAATGGAAGAAAAAAAAGTATGTGGAACTTCAGACAGAGGCTTTTCTGGAGGAAAACAGTGAATAATAGCCTAGGAGGGAGGATGGTGGTGTTATTGATAGTGACAGAAGACAATTAAATGCTTCAGAAATAATGAGAATGCACAAGTGCGTGGAAACTTCAGAACCAGAAAGATAGAAGGCCCAAGGGTTTGTCTACACAGACAGAAAGAAATTTAATCTAAGTGACCAGAACTGCGTTAAATCCTTGTATAAGAACAAACCTAAAAGGACCTGAACTTGATTCACCTTAGTTTCCCTTGGAAGTGAATTAAGGTAATAGCACTTAAGATCTCTAGGTTAGGATTAAAATTTCCATGTTCATTGGTTTGAAAAGTGCCTTTACACTGATGATTGTTTCTAAAGCTGCAAGCAACATGCTATCAGATTTAAGTTCTTCCTTAATAAAAGACTCTGAACATTTACATTTGGTCTTTGGGGATTTCTTGGGGAAAGGCAAACCAAATTAACTGAAATTGCAACTGGAGGGTGAGCCAATGAATCTACTTTAAATTCATACCTTTTGTTAAATTCTTCCTTGTGTTCCTGAACAGATAGTGTGTAATTCGAAACAAAGGTTAACAAAAAGCACATTTAGAATGAAAACAGTGGAGAGAAATAAGTAATTTTCAGGGGCAATCCCCAAACACATGAGAACACCAATTATTCATAGGGGAAAGACAGGAAGGAGAAATCGACCAAACCCCTGAGAGCTAAAGGTGTATGTTTACTCCAGTACCAACTCAATTCCCTTTTCTTCACTTTTACCCGTCAAGTCTGTGTTCTGATGATTCTGATGCTTCTCAATGTCTCCTAACATTTCCAATACCCTTTTGTTTGTTATAAATATTTTTTCTTTCAATTTCCATAATGTATACCTAACTTTACCCAGTCAAAACCGTAAGGAAAACTATAATTTAGCTTTCTGTGTCATTATCTTTTACATCTGAATTTTAGATAATTAAGTAGGGAGGAGGAAAGGAAAATATTAACCTATGGCTTAGCTCTGCAGTCTTACTCTCACCTCTCTCCAAGTATCAGCATTAGAGTCGGGACACTGGCAACAGATTTCACATGTTACCCAGCAATACAAAGACAGAAACTTCATTCCCCTTGAAGTCCAGGCTAAGAGCTGAAGCCACTAGCAGAACACCTGGCAGTGAACGCTGACCATAAGCGTAGAAAACTCTGTTTTAATGTTAATCCAGTTTTAAAAAAAAAAAAAACGCAAGAAGAAGAGCCATTCTCTTTCAGCCAAGCACAGCACAGGTGCTAGCATTATGCACGTAGTTAAAGAAATTTTGCCACTGCAATTTTTCACATTAAGCCCACCAAACTAAGATGCAAATGCTAAGTTATATCTTATAATGCTGACCTAAATGGTTACTTACCATAGTACTATATAAACAGATCGTAGAACTATAATGGAAACTAGTGTTCCATACATGATCTGGAAATAAAGAGAGATAAAATTCAGCAGTTGGATTAAAGAGACTTTATAAAACATGACAGGAGTAAAAAATTTTTGAAGACTCTGTTGATTTTCATTCTTCATCTCAGGAAAATAGTATCCCCTTTAACTTTCTCTCCAGAAAGTCTTCCATAAAAGTTTCAAATAAAAATATGATTATAAACCATGCCCTTTATGCAATTACAGGAAGTCAGCTGTGCAAAACTGGTTTCACTTTTTCGAATTAGAAAGCAAACACTAGATGGCACTCGGTAAGCATTCTAAAATCAGAATGGTAACCGATTCCTATAATTTCTTCTGTATCTGTGCATTTTAGACCAGGATTGCGTAAGCATCAGCTAAAACCATTTTTGAAAACTATACTTCCTCCACTGATACTTGACTAGTATTTTTTCCTGAAAGCAAACACCTGAATAGACTATGCACTATGCCCACACTGAGCATTGGCATGGAAGAAACTTTCCAGGAAGCATTTAAAACCAACTATTACACATTGTTGGGATTCAATATAATTATACAGTGGGAAGGCTGCACGCTCTGAAAAGATCCATGAGCAAAATCTGGCTCACTGTAGGCTTGATGAATTTGAATGTAATCACCTGACTTACATAGAAAGTCAAAGTAATTTTTATTTTCTGCCTCATGATCTTTAAATCACTCTCCCTTTTTTTATTCACAAGCTTAGGATCCACATAACATAATCTCCAAGACGTACAGACTAAAGAAGAGAAATGCGGTCAGTCATGCCTGAAAAGTGACGCAGAAGCCACTGCAGCAGGAAGGGTTTTCAGACAGTGGTGACATTAAATTACTCTTCATGCTTTTTATTCGGAGCACTGTTTTCTTCCTGCCAAAAGGCAGTTTGTCCGAAGCAGTTGTGCCTTGCTCCTTGCCTCTCTCCAGTGGCCCACAACCCCCTCGCTATACTTTGCTTCCTTGTTCACCGACTTTCCTTTCTCATTTTGCTTTTAGTTAACTCCTATCTAATGCTGACTTGTTTTACATGAAACAGGAAAATGCTGCCTATTTTTAAAAGCCACTAACATCACAGAGGTGTGCTTGCAAACCAGTGTCCTTACCATGTTCCACTGACCTCCTCATACCTTTCCTTCTTTTAGACTACATTTTCTTCAAGGCAAGGACTACCTCTTACTCTGCTGTAACTGGGGCATTCAGCTATTACTATCCTGCAAGCTTATGCATGTGTCTAGTCATCTGACACAAAATAGACTGCTATAATGCAAAGTAAAACTTACCTTTCAAAAATCCGTAAAGGCAAATTTTCAAACCCCTTTTAGCTTTAAGGATGAGGTTAATAGCACACACCTTATTATCAGTGCATATATATAGAACAAGACAAACAACAGAGCCTTTATGTTTGACAACGAGTAAAAGTAAGCTCCAACGTTGACTATGTAAAGTCACTCAGCACAGCAGCTCTTTATTTGCATTCAGAGTGAGATCAAATAACTTCAGTAACTGAGCTACTACTACTGTTTTCTGCTCTGTAGAGCTAAACAAAGCAAAACTATTTGAAAGGCTAATTGGTTCTGGCTTGTACTTTATACAAAACTGTTAGCTAATTCCAGTCCTTTTGCTCGGGTACAGCACATAAATCCGGAAAAAAACCCTAACAAAGCCCGCTAGACACAGCCCGAGTATCAAGTGTTTATCAATCCCAAGCTAAAGGTAGAAAGGGAACTGCTCAGGTGTGCTACATGCTGGCACAATTCTTCATCACTGACATTTTGCCTAAAAAGACCCCATCACATAACAAATACAGATTAAATTTAAAAGTTAAATGCCATTTTACTTCATCAGTCTAATTTAAAACAGCCTATTTGGTTTTCCTAATCAAATCCAGTAATGTATTCTAAGAGAGGGATAGCACAGAGCAAGAAACTCACTTAAAGGCTCCTCTGGAACCCAAATCACAGTTTGATGCCCTTTCCTTGCTGTTCAAATCCTTCCTACAATTTCAGTTGCTAAAATGCTCTTCTGCAGACACACAGGAAAAACCTACCCATGAAGAGGAATTTCCATCATACTCATTAGGGGTGTGACCACCTTCATGCTTTTATCTGATTTGTTCTTGGGTTCTTTGTACAAGGAGTTAGTGTCAGACTATGCCTAGAGAAACATAACTTAATAGGCAGCCCAAAGCCCAGGTAAAACACAGGCTAAAAATGTTGTTATCTCTTGCAGCAGCTGATAAAAGCAGGAAAGAGCAAAAGCTAAATTTTTTTTTAGAGCCTCTGGCTTTGTATCTCCTAGAGATTTGCTTAATGGCTTTCAGAAGAGGACAGTCTTAGCGGAGGTAAGAAGGAAAAAAATAAAAAGAACCTTGCAGTGACTGAAGAAAAATATGACCACAGCTGACACTTCAATTTCTTGCCTTTTCCGCTCCCCCACACAAACAGGTTGTTAGCAGTAAAACACATTCGTGTTTAAAAGCCTGTGAAAGATTGGCACAACAAAACTGTTCTGCCTTGCATGCTCCCATCCTCCTCTCCATGCTGAAGGCAAACATCGAGGAGGTGTTGCTGCAATATGCAGACTGTAGCTGCACGTCTCCTGCAGCTGTTTCTTACTACAGGCCTATAAACAGAGCTACACAACTTAGTTTATACTTCAGGGAGCAGTGCTTACTTTTACTCCTTTACCACCCATGGATTTACTATTTTCATCATGCCAAAAATTTGTTAGAAATTATCCATCCACCCCAAGAAGGATAAAGTACAAAAAAAAAAAAAAAAAAAAAACTCTTATTCAAGTTCACTCCATTTTTTCAATTCCTTTAGCTCCTTTTGTTCTTCTTCTTTAACTAGCACATCATTTAAGTGACAGATGAAAACCCAAGCAAGTTTTGTGCTATTTTGTCTCACAGTGCTTTCAAATTGTTAGCCAAAGAACACACTTGCATTACAACTGAAACAAAAGGAAAGAGCAGAATCTCATCATCTTTTGTTATCACTAGACAGTTCCCTCTCCGCTGTTTAAGACGCAAATAAAGCTCCATGTATTTCAGCTTTGAAGCCTGTATCATTGCAATGGGGGAAAACCCCAAAGTCTTATTAATACACAGTGGATTACCTGATAAGAAGGCCAAATATGAAGAACATCCTTCTAATCCACAAATGGGAAGTAAGAATTTCAGGACCCGGTGTTTGGCAGCATTTTTGATGTGGAGGCAGTTAAGCAAATCATAGAGATTCACTACTTATGCAAGTTGGAGGCAAGGCTGGTACTCCACACTGAGGGGAGCATACAAAACTAGTTCTTTATCTACCCTCCTAGTACAGAAAGGAGCAATAGCCTCTTATTTCCACTTCTCCATTTCCTCTGCTCCTGGCCTTCCGCCCATCCTTGGTTAATAAAAGTCAATTTATCAGCCTCAAATATTAGCATGCACATTGGGAACTGCACTGAGAGATTCTGGGTTCTTGGCAACTACTGCTTATCTATTAATATACCAACCAGGTATCAAAAGAAAGTTAGCCGAAGTACTTGAAGTTGGAAACTGTATTTGCAATTTACAATGAAGAAAACTGACTTCTACATGTTCTTGGATTTCTGGAAAAGAAACCTGAGCTGAGAGAAAAAGGAAGGACAATCCTTATGATGACACTGAAACACTGAATAACTCAGCATAGTTACAGCTATTTAGTACTACATGCTGCCTTGACAGCTCCTGAAGGAACTAATTCAGATTCACTGCGTTTGGTGCTGTTTAGATGTGCATGCGTGATGGCAAAGCAACACCCAAGTCACTGCTGGCTTCTGGGACACTGCAGCAGTAAAATGAGCTTCCCCTTTGGTGACCTGTAGAGCCAGTCCTTCGAAGACTCTTAACATCCACATTCCCTAAGATATTGTGCAGATAGAAGTACTATCCAGAATGAAAGCTGTATTTGCTTTCTGGAAGACATCCCCAAATAAGCTGTGTAACAGAGTGAGATGTCACTCACATTAGTTCTATACGTGGTCTTCAGCAGGACAATGCCTAAGTAGAAAAAGCTCTGTGGTGAAGACATGCCCTGAAAATGTCATTTTTAACAGACTGTTTGGCAACCTGAACATGCAGAAAGTAAGAACACGTTCCACTAAAAGGCACAATATATTAAGCCACAAGCCTACAACTGTTGCCTCGGCAGCAGGAAGGACTCTGGAGAGCCATAGGACACTGGCTGGGGCCACACAGATTCCCCAAAATGGGAAGTCCTGTAAGTACGAGCAGGTTGTGCCCTGACACAACACTCTTTATGCAGTTTCAAGCTCCCATACGTACTTCTACATAGACATTTCATTGTGATTACACTTCCTTCCTTGCATTTGTGTATTTAAAACACCTGTGGAGAACAGTTTTATTAATTTTTTCATTGAGGCAAATGAGGTATCTTTCTCTCCCACACACACTCTCTCCCTTTTACCAAAAGTCACCTTAAATGGTAAATCCAATACTTTTATTTCACTAGTATCACTGCTGCAGAAAATTCACTGGTCATATTATTATGCTGTGATCAGCAAACACATCCAGGCACTCCCTTCCCTCCCTGCTTTGGTGATCTGTGTGCAGTTTAGAACAAGAATAGCTGGTATTTGCCCACCAGTGCACGCTCTTCCATTCTGTACTCAGCGATGCCTCTGAACTTCGCATCATCACAAATATCATCAGTACATGAAACTTTTTCCTGCTACAGGTCATTAAATAAAACCAGTCCCACTATTGATCCTGAGAAAATCCAGACTGAGACTACCTTTCATCATCTCTTTCAGTCATTTTCCACTAGTCACTCACTCCTTACCCTATTTGCAATTCTCATACTGATCTACTTCTCCAGCTTGCTTAGTTTCTCATGGGACACCACAACAACACTTCTGGAACGTCTATACACAAGGCATTTTTTAAATCACATTTCCTAATGTAGAAAAAACAGCTATTTAATCCAATTTTCTATTTACCTTTTAATTATTTGCTTGCTCAAAATTTGCTTCAAACTCTTGCAGCAGATGACTATGCAAATAAAACAAGTTTTTAGATCATTATTCACATAACTTGGCCCACTAGCTGAATGAGGTTTTTCATCACTACAAGTGTATAGCCAGCATACAGTATGTAGCAAGTAAACAAATCAGGATGGAAAAAAATGCTTTGTAGGTGACAGCTTCCTAGGCCACACTGTATTAGAAAGAAGGCTACTTGTAAGACTTGAGTCTAAAAGTTTAACTGCCAGGGTAATTTCTTCTGCTTCCAGGGCCATCTTACATGTGCCTATGGATCAGTCTACACAAGCAGCCAGTCTTCTTCCAGCCCTTTCCTTGCATAAGCACAAATATACATGTGGCAAAGAGGGATGAACAACTAATCCAATTTACAACTAATTCTAAGGAGAGTTTTAACCTGTCGAGTTCCCCAGTCAAATTCACATCAGAGAGTAAATTTGTGTGCCAGATGGGAGAGCCATATCTGTTTTCTTTGACAATGATGCTGGCTTAAAAACCACTAGGAAACTGGGATGTAGGGTTGTTTAGTGCCATGGAAATTAGGTAATAGTGCTGTAGCCTCTGAGATTTTGACATAAACAAGACAATACATGCTTGTAAAGGCCACTGCTATTTTTCATTTAACTGATCAGATGACAGAAACTACCCGACCAGTTGTCAGGCAGGGAAGTGTTTTTTTCCATCCAATGATGTGTAGCCTCTAACTGACCAAAATGTGCATCTCATCCCTCCTACTGTTAAAGCATTAAGACCCTTAAAGATCTGCAATATGTGGATGGAGAAAAATAAGTTGGTCTCTGTTGCCACTGTGCCATGAATAACAAACTGAAATCCCCTTCATGCCCTGCTGGCAGTGAGCAATTTATGAGCTTAAGTTGGGAAGAAAAGTAGAAAGTAATTCACTGAAAAATAAGGCTTGGATTCTGGCTACTAAATATAATAGGTTCCTTTCCCATTCTTATTGCTCTCTTTTCTGGGGAAAAAGCACACTGAAACAATGAACCATATAAAGCTGTCCATGTAGTTATTCCCCTTTTTGCAAGGCTGACAAACGATGATGATCACAGACAAATACCTAGAGGAATCAAGTGCTGCTTTATGTCCTGATGCTGCTTTCCAATACAGTTAGGGACCGAAACTGTGATTTAAACTATGATTGCATGAGCATATTTAACTTAACTTCAAGTCTGAGACCCATTCAGTTGGAAAATACTTACTGAAATCGTATTGAGATTTTTTTTTTTTTGGTGCACTCTAAAATAAAGGACAAGTATTAAGAAAATAACCTTGCTTAGCTGTACAGTCAGAAAAATGTTTCCTCTGGATTTACAATGTATTTGGCAAAGATTGTGAAAAAATGAGTGTAGTACTTCAACATTTGGAATTTGGCCATAACTGTATGTTCTCCATAAAAATCAATTTGGAAAGAGTAGTTGTAAAAAGTCCAGCACTTTTATGGGCCTAAATGTTTTCTACATTGATTCCTCATGTATAAATTATAACAGGGAATTCATATTCTGAACCTAAGAGAAGCCAGATGCAAAATATTAAAGGTCTGGGGCAACAGTCTGAAGTTTCCCTATTTCCCTCTTTTCCAACAAGTCATAATATCTATTGTCTTAGTATTTCTGACATGGGACAATACCTATGCCAGTGCATCAAACGGGAATATACTGAAGCTGTGATGTATTTATTGCAGTAAATGTAGGTTGAGTAGATAATTGATTAAAGAAGTAGAAGTCCAATATCAGTAGTAAATTCTGCCACTGTTGTTAACAAAATTAAGTCACTTCTTTCAAAACCAGTATTAACCAGCTCAGCAAAGGCATCAAAACTTTCACCCCAGCCAGTATCTTCCTGCTGGAAAAGGAAGTAGGGGAAAAACAGAAAGGATTTAATTAAGATTATCAAAAAAACCAAGTTTCTCTTTTTATCTATAGGTAGAATAACAATTCATGTTTCTAGAAGAGATCATTTGGAGAAGCTGGGAATTTATTTTATTCATCAGTGCTTCACTAATCCACCAACAGGAATCACGTATCATTTTTACAACTGCTGATGCAGCAGGCACATTTTGACAAGCGATGGCACTATCAATTTCAGAAATTAAGGCTTTAAAGCCCTGTCCTGCAAAGAGCTCAGTGCTTGTGCTTGGCAATTTTTCAGCTGTTATCCCTAATCAAAAAATCATAAATGAGGGAAAATTACTCATGACATACATAAACAAGCGTGATTTCTAACCTCCTAAGGAACTTGCTTGTACCAAATAGGACATTAAGCCTGTAAGACCATAACAACCATTCTGCTACACAACCCTAGACGACATTCTGTGTTTAAATACGGCTTGAACTTACACAAAGTAAAACTGAGTAGTAAAAAAACAAAACAAAAACAAACAAACCAACCTAACAATCTAATATGTTAAAATGGAGAGAAGAACATAGTGCTAAGTCATGCAAGCCACGTTACAATGTAAGTCACAGTTCCCCAGCAGCTGCTAATGGAAAGCAGCAGATGAGGACTCATCATGCCCTCCCTCTCACACACACCTGAGCCCACAGGAAGCGTCACCTCCTTACACTTGCCACTAATGAAAACCACGTGAAATATTAGATCAAATGCTAAAACACAACGCACATTAAACTATTCTAGTTTTTCAAGTCAACAAGTAAGAGGATGGCAACGTGACAGGCAGCAATACTGCTTGAAGAAAAAGCAAAAGGCAAATTGTGCTTCCCTTCCTTCTTTCTTCCAGCCATAAAATCCTATAAAACACTCCACTAAAACAGCATTGTTTAAAAAGAAGATTAGCTTCTCCAGCAGAGCAAGACTTACCTGATGGAATACAGGCTCTTTCAAATTTAAGTAAACCTGGAAAGATTAAAAAAACAGAGAAATAATTTGCAACAGAGAACTATCATAACATTATTCATCCAAATATTGCCAGGACCTGTTCTGTTAGAAGCAAGACACGAGTGCCTATCCATGCACCATTAAAATTGATTAAACACCTGAAGTTTCCTCTGGCAAAACCTGAGGTTTTAGATGTGGAATTATTTTAAATTAAGAAGCACAAAGGGAGACATTAACATCTAAAATCTCCTCATTTAATAGAGTTTCAACACATACAAAAACAATTAAGATGCAGAAATTACCAGACACATTCTCAATATGCATTGCAAGAAGAAAATTTACTCTACTTTGATTTGCTATTATTAATGTTTTTGACAATGCTTTAATATTTCAGTTAATTTTACAAAAAACTAGTAGTTCTTCCTTTTATTAATGCAGTTCATTTAATTTCTGTCTTTGAAGAGAGAAGGGCCGTAGACATTAGGCATGACATGCTACAAGTGTAACAAATTTTAGGAAGCACAGAGGAGAACAGGCAAGTATTTTGAAGGCAGATGTCAACCTGTATTTTTTTTTTTTTTAAGAAATGGCTATCAATAAAAATAATGAAAGAGATTCCATCTGTGGTTGACAGCTAGCACAAAGCTAATTTTATTCATAAAGGGAACACACTGCACCAAGAAAGGGAATCAAGTTAGCCACAACAGTTAAAATTCTTTTAATTTTTTTAACAGCTAAATTCCTTTCTTATTCTGGCTGTTGTTTTACAGCACCAGTCAATATCCTGGACTTGGTATCACGGTTCACTTTTTGCAGTCTCTTAAAAGGGATTATTCTCATTTCTGTAGATGTATTAAAGTGAGGGAAGATGAGGAATGCAGCTTGTCCAAAGTCTCATAACAACTCAACAGTGACTGTTTTTCTCATGTTCCTACTCTAGCTACTGGATTACTGCTTTTCTTCTTCATTTAATCTGTACAGTTGCTTAGATAGAAAGGTTTCAGGTTTCTCTGGCCAGCATATAATTTTCACAACAAAAGAATAACTTGTCCTTGACTGGAAGTGAGAGAGATTCAGTACTGCCTGTGTAACATTCCTTCACTGGCAGGAAAACTGTCAACCTACAGGGGAAAATACCATATTAGAAAAAGTTACTTACTATGCTGACTACGAAGCTGTATGTTATTAACAAGAAAAGCAGTGGATAATTGACTGTGTTCTTGTACTTGAAACATTCATACCTGGAACAGAACATAAAGGAGAGTGATAACATTCATCACTTACCACAAAAAGGATCCATTTTTCAAGATCTATTATTACAGAATTTTGTAAGAAAATTGATCCAAATGAGTCTTAGGCCCTCAAGAAACTGTAGCTCCTCCAATAAAAATGTGTCATTTTATTGGTAAAAGTGTGAGTTTTTATATAATTTTTTTTTTTTTTAATCTAGTGCAAAAAACCCCCGTAAGTTCATGCATACACAAAAAATAACTCAGTCAGTGGAAAGAGTTTGGGAAGCAGAAGCACTTTCAGAAGGTGCTTAAGGGGTGATAATGGATCACAAATTAGAAATGAGTTTAAAATGCAATACAGCTGCCAAAAAACATTACATCTGTGAACTAAAGGCAGCGTGGGAAAGGGACTGCCTTACAAAACAGCGAACTCTATAGATCTGTTAAAATGCAGATTGTTTATGGCTTTACTACAGTCGCAGTGAAGTAAATTTGCTAGATTGGATACTGGTAGAAGTGGAAGGTAAAAACAGCTAATTGCTCCCAGTATGTAAAACAACTAATTAAAATCAGTTTCACAATCTCTACACTACACTTCAGTTACAGTTGTGGTGGAATTACACACACACATCCCAGACTGTATCTCCATCAGAAAAAAGGTCCAAAAAAATGAACAAAAATGAACTTTGACCAGCACTAAATCATTAATTAGGGCTAGAGGCAGTTGTCTATATAACTCCAAGTTACATCTGCCTACTTTATTTGTTTATAAACTTTTGGAAACAGACACCATCATGGATGAGTAAAAGAAAACTAAGAAAAAAACCAGGCAGGGGTATCTGGGGGGAAAAAAAAAATCTACAAGACAGCACAATGCTCTACATTGCAAAATGGCTTGCCAAAGTAATTACACAGCTTTGAGAGTCAGTAGAAATGAATGATTTATAAGGGAATGTCCTATGTAGAACCACCTCACCACCTACCTTCAAGAAAACCAAAACAATTATTAAAGGCCTCCTAAACTAAACATTAATTCAGTCTTCAGAACATTTGAATTACTACCAAACACACATACAGAGAATCTTATTAGGGCTATAAATGCAGTAACAGACTTCAGTGCTTTTGAAGATAATAGAGTAACCATTGCACAAAATAAGCATGATTATTTATTCCAACAGATTTTTATAGCCACTTCTCTGCCTCTTCCCCAATCACATTCAAATCAGACAAAATAAATGCAAAGGCAATTTCAAGGAGATAGGGAGCTACAATGGAAATACTTCCACTAGCAGAGGCATTATGATTCTGGTCCTGAGTCTGCACAAATCATACTGATGTATGAATCACAAACTGATGGTAATTTCCACAGATATGGGTTTAGTCCTATAGCATCCCATCTCCATTTCAAGTTACCAGATATTCCAATTTTCAATGGCCGAACATTTGATATGTTCAAAAGCAAAAAGACAACTTTTTTGTCTTTCTGTCTGCAACAAGTTGATTTATCATATGGATTTTCCAAGTGACAGAACAAATCATGTTAAATCCAGGCCTTGCAGCAACAGGCAAGAAAAAGTCAACTTACGGTATCTTTACGGTTGCCAAATGCTACATTGCTCCTGAAATTAAATGGGAGAAAACATTCTGGCATGGCATTAAGCTGTCATGCATGTTTCAAGACACTCTCCACAAAATATATACTCAACTCTTCATAAAATCTTTTTTCTTTAATTTTCCAGATGAGTGGAAAGCAGGTTTAACCAGAAATCTGAAATTTGCATTTGGAGTCAGACTACATCATAGAAATACAGCTCAAATAAACTACCGCATTGATAATTTTGTAGGTGTTACTGAGGTTGATTTTATTATGTCTGCTGTTTACATACCAAGTAACACTGAGCTCTGGTTGTATACTACACAAAGTCTTTAACAAAAGTTATTTTTTTTCCTTGCTAAACAAACACTGGTAAGACATCTCTAAATTAGCAAAAACTAAGACTGAAATCTCACTGAAATCATGAGAAGCTTCAGTGTCAGCCTCACTATACATTAAATTGGGTTTCATAGATTCTACATTTCCAAAGTTAATATTTCATAAATATTCAGAAAAAAATATTTAACAAATACTTACAGGCAGTAGACAAACACACAACAACTGTATATCATTGGCAGTTCATCCAACAGCTACAAAAAGCAAAGACAACAAAACATGAAAACTACTTTTAACTTACACAAGCGTGTGAGTTAAAAGAGAAGTCTTAAGAAAACAGGAATTTTTAAGTCATTTGGATATCCATGTTCTTGACTGTACTTCAGCATGCAACAGTGTCAAATCCTGTTCAACTACTGAAAGCTTGCTGAATTAATAAGCTTATTGCCCTGAATCTTTTGACTACTACGTCTCATAAAAAGCCCACGCCTTCAAAGAATCATGCCATTTTTGCTGTTCATACCTCTTGAAACATTAATAAGAGTTAGTTTTGTAAAGTCAGATTGAGTAAGACCACCCCATTTATAGCCTGCTCAATACAGCTAGTAGCATTTTCTTCTGTACAAAATTCACAGAGAAACTGAAATAAAATTTTTCTGTAACACAAACCAGAATTTTAGCCCATTAGGAAGTACCCTGCAATATGTCTACATGTTTACCTCCTAATTTTGTAAATTTCTGACATTGTTTTAATTCAGACACAGGTCTTTTTGTTTGTTTGTCTGTTGTGGGGTTCCTGTTTGTTGGGTTTTGTTCTTTTTTTTTTTTTTTTTTTCCCCTAATTATGATTGCCATATAATGTTTTATTGTGTTAAATCATTTTTATACTTTGGGAGAAGACTGGCATATTACAGCTAAATGAGCTATTTCTCCAGGAACCTGCCACCTTAATAGAGATGGAATTAAAATGGTAATCACAAGAGAGGTGATTTCTCAAGAAAAGGTGCACTCAAAATTCCAATTTATTTATCATTACAGGGAAAAAAAATGTTATTCATAGCATCATTTTCTTCTAAAACTTCTCAAAGAATATTAAAAAATTTCTGCTCATAAATATAGTTAAACTTACCTGCTCTTGTGAACGACTGAAAATCATGAAAAAGCATAACAAATGGGATCAATGAAGATTCACTAACTCTGATTTCTAATATGTTAAGCAAACATTAATTGTTGTACATCTTAGAATTGTTACACCAGTTTTGTCTCTTTCCTAAGAAAAACAAGAACTGGATGCAAACAAGATTTTGATCTTTTTCCATCATCACTTTGAAAGCTGTTGATGGCCATGTTTGTACAGAAATTACTTTCCTACTATTGGTACAGGGTACTCAGCAAGTTCACAATCATGTTTTTCTGAATAATTAGACACACTAAGAGGAACAGCTGTAAAGTCAGCCTGATTCCGCTTGGTTTGGGAGAATTTTTCTAACTGCACAGGCAAAAACTCTCTTTTAGTTTTGAAATTTCATAGTGGGGGAAAAAAGCGATCTAGTTCTTTACAGAAGAGAGATGTCTTAGCCTGAGTGTGAACTATTAGCTTTTTAGAAACTTCAGGAAATGTTTCACAATACTGCTAAACAGACCTGCAGAGTAGCTGCCGCTGAAAAGGCAGGTCTCGCTTCTTCCCCCACGCTCCCACTGCTTCCCTTGAGCGAAGCACCCATGCTCGTCTGGCCCATGGTGAGCCAGATCCAACAGTTGATCCATCTCATGACTAACCTTGCAGAAAAAAGGTTTAAACCCCTGAATCCATGCATGATAGGGTCAGGGACCGCAATAGGTAGAACAAAGGAAGTATCAGGAACACGGATGGCATCTGAAGTTAACAGGCATGTTAGGTGACACCTTGCCATCACGCTAGTTTATATTTGCTGTGATGCCTTAGAGAGGAAAAAAAAAGAAGCAATAGCTGAATTCAGCTTTATACTAATAGTTATTATTTATTAATTCAGTGATATGCTTTACCAAATCTGATAAGAATTAGCTGCAGGACTAATTCACGCAGCTCTTTAAGAGTGTGAGTCATTTAGGGCCTCAAAAAAGAAAAAAGGGGGAAAAAAAGAATAAGAAATACAATATAGCAAAATTTTTCAAATTTGGACAGCTGATTACACTCTTAAGTTTATATGCTAGCAGCATCTCAGGGATATAATGGTAACATCAAAGAGCCTCTCAAAAGATCCAAGTCTGAATTTACTTGCAGAAGACAATAGCTTCTGTATCCAAAGGAATTAATGCTTCCAGAAATACTGCCAAACAGCATGTCTGAACACGTCTGAACAATGAAGAAACAAGGATAGAAGGAAATTTGGTGAGCTGATTTTGCTGGTTAAGTACACATTTTGGATTCTTGAGGAATGTACCATCAAGCAAATTCACACAAAAATAAGAGAGGTGATTGCTTCAGATGTATTCTAAGTAACTTTCAGAAACAGAAGCTTTCACATTTCTTCTAATTAAACAATCTGAATTGACCGTTTACAGTATTAAGATTGCATAACAAATGTAAAAGAAAGATCTATTCAAACAGCTACCAATGCTGACTTTTAATCGTAACAATAGACAAAGTGAATGAGAAAAGATTATTTACTGGTTGAAATTTTTCCTCTGTGGTGATTCATGAGCTAGCAATCAAGAGTAATTACGGGCCACTTGCGGATTTCACTTGGCTACCAAAATAATACATGTACTTTCTCTGCCTCGCATGAAGCCTTTTACACAGTTGGAAAGATGATACAAGGCATTCCTGCTCCCCTCATCTGCTTCTGCCCACCCTTTACTTCCCACAGTACATGGGCCCCTTGGTTGTTCTGATGCAACATCAAAACCACATGGTAAGTAGCAGCAAAGTGATTTGGATTAAAATAGCCCCTACACACACAAGAAAACCCCCCAAGACCCCCACCACACCTAAGAATGTTTTAAGTGTAGATCATTTTAATGATCAAGGTTTCAGAGTGGCCTTGCTAACCTCTGCATCAGTATAAGAAAGAGGATTTGAAACACTGGTAGGGTTAGGAAGAAGCAGCTGAGGGAAGAGAGATGGAAAGGCTGAAATTCAAGGCAGTTTCATCACTGAAGAGAATGTAAGTAAATCACACCAAGTCAGGAGGGAATGGTAAAATGGATCTAGAAATTGCATTTTTCATGCCAAGAAAAGCACCAGATATTCTTACATGGTGGCAACAACACACTCCATGGAGGCTGACAGCCTCTGGCACATGCCAGAGATATAAAAAACAGAGCATTATGGAGACAAACATCGCTACAGATTCAAGCTTCAGACACTATACTTTTGGTGTCCACATACACAGCATCTCAGGTCCCATTATGATCAGCAGAAATCCAGGACTCAATTCAGTTGCCAGGACATCAGTACCCATTGCCATCTGAGACACTGTCATCTCCAATACACCCACCCAAGTCTGGCAGATGTGACAGTGGGGTTCTAAGAGACCTGCACCTTTGTGGGATGGCAGCTGGAGGCCAGACAAAACACTCATGGGGTCTAAGATGACACTAAACACCTATATTGAAACAAATTTATATTATTCAAATTAAGACTGCCACTTGAGTCTGGAGAACGACTCAGCCCAGCTGACTGGCTCTCTAAATTCCACTGACTTAACTGTATTTCCACTGGCTACACTGGGAGCAGACTGCTTTTAAATGTAGGTTTCTTAATTTTGAACTGAATCCCACTTTACCCTCACTTCAATTCAAAGATGAATCTCCTTAATCTTCTCAGACCTAAAACAGGACAACAGGACAAGACTCCTTGCGTCCCTTTAGAAAGTGGGAAATACCAGGAACCAATCATTACACCCAGTGATTTATCACAGAATGCCTTCTACCTGAGAATAAGAGAGAGAGAGAGAGACTCAACTATTGCTACTCAGCAGATACTGATTTCCACATTAATGCTACAGGTACATCTAGATAAATAGAAAACATAGTAGAAAACATTAAATGAAAAAAAGGATACAATAAATAACAGTATCTCTACTCTATACTGGTTGCTATTAAGCCAAAGCTGGGGGAATTTTAAAATAACAACTCAAGTAAAAATATAGTATGACTTCCCAAAGGGTAAAGTGTCTTCTACCAACATAAGCAATTGGTTATAGTTCTTATTTTAGGTGCAAGTATATTTTCCTGTATATCTATTGGTGGAAAATATCTAATGAAACAAGACCTGAGCTACTCTCTCGTTGAGAGGAGTCATGTACAATGAGTAGATTAACTCATGTTATACGAATTTCATCTAGTCAAGAAATGGCAATGTGACTATATAGAGATAAACACATAAAATGATTCACAGCTACTTATCAATGCTCACCTGCATTTCATACTTCAGGGTCATGTGGAAGCACCAGGATCCCAATCCCACAGCTGTAAACAAATCAAAACTATGGTTAACATAGAAGCCTACAAGTAAAACTTTCAGGTACGTTATCTTAAATGCATGAACTTTATTGGGAAAAATAAACTAGAACATCAGCATCCCATTTGAGTGACAAACTCCCAATCTTCCACAGCTTTCTACTTTGCACTTTAATCACCAGTGAGGTCCTTGCATTTGTTTTTTGGGGGGTGGGTGTCCTCTTTCTCTCCTCTCCATACTGTCTTCTATGAACTGGTGCAATCTCAATGAGGATAGGAGTGGAGGAAACCCAGACTGAATGGAACATTATCATTCTATTTCTCTTTTTCTTTTAATTACATTAAGATTTATCTGTCTCAATCCTTCTGTAATGCAAAGCATCATTCAATAGCTAATACTCCTGAAAGCCTGGGATATTTCTGCTCGTTGTCCAGTTTTAAAAAGTAAATTTTACATGGAGTTTTTTGTCAGCTTTAGAAGCAGCAATGAATTGCTACTAGAACTTAGAACTAGAAATTCAGGGTAAACAAACTGCATGAAGTATGGATTCGTTTTGTGAAACAAGATTGCCTTTTCAGAGTCACCTTCTTAGAAGCTCATCTTTCTATGTAATGATTTTTATTTATTTGAAATACTTTATTTTTAAACTCTGAATTTCCTGCTAAAATTAATTTATGAGATACGTATTTGCCTGCACACAGCTTTGTCAGTAAGACAAGGAGAATGTTTCTTGGAAGTCAGAATCCGCTGTTTAGAGCAAAGCTGGTATTTAATGTACCACTCATCACTTTGAAATGTTATCTGTTAAACACTCTCATTAAGCACTGGCTCATTTTTATTTTGCAAGAACAAGTACATTAATGCTATGTCTTGTCTTCCTTCAAGAAATTATGTTTTACATCAGACTCTGGTTTCAGAGAAAGCCAAGTAATTTGCACTCAAGCCTCGATCACTGGCTACTGCTGCTGTGCTTTGCTGCAAGATTATAACCTTTTCTACACACAACAGTTAGATTTCACTGATGTTTAAACAGATCTCTATCTAAAAAAAAGTGCATTTTGTAATGGATGCCCAAGTCAGTTGACAGACATGTGGAGATGTTTCTTTAGATGCTATTAGACTAAAATTGTGATTATTATACTTACCCAATGAAATGAAATACCTAAGCATGGAGCTTTACTGAAATACAAAATTGTAATGCAGCTACATTTAAAAACGTATTGCCAAACATTTTAATGTCATTAATTCTCTGCAAAATTAAGCATGGCTGTCTACCAGAACATAAGCAAACATATGCACTCCTGTAAATTCTGATTAAATTGTTTTGCTTCTGAAAAGTCTTTCCAAACAATAAGCAACAGCTGTTTTTCACCTTGAGATTTTAATGAGAAATTCTCATAGCCATTTTTCTATGTATACAGAATCTATTACAACTACTGTTCATTCTGAAGAAAAAACCCGTTAAAATTGTAATTAGAAGAGTACCATCCATTACCCTGGCTGTCACAGCAATTTCAGTATCTTCATGACTCAAACAATTAAAATTTGTAACGAGTGTAATTTTGAAATATGGTCAAAATCATTGCATAAGAAATTTCAACTGATTTTAAATTAAAAAAATGTGGGGTTTTTTGTTTGTTTGTTTTTGTTGTTGTTAATGGTACTGGGGTTAATAAATATCAACAATCAGCCACTGAACTCCTCCCCTTCCTCCTGTATGATTAGAAGCAGTTATTGCTAGATTATGTTTCCTTTCCAGTCTTTGCAAAAATCAAGAATGCTGCAGATATTAGTGTTTCAGGTCATTAAACCCATAACTACAATGAATTTCTAAAAATAGTTTTAAAATCTCTTGCTTCTGTGTAATGATCACACTTGGCATTTTTTTGACTATGAAATTTTACTATGCATTGGAGAACAATGCTTTAATTATATTGTGTAGCAATAGAATAGTTATCCGAAACATGAAAAGTTTACAGAAACTCATCATATGGTCCTTCCTACAATAAAAACCTCTACTGGAAATGGCTGTAATACTGCTTGCTGCAATCTTGACAGAGCTCATGAGCATGGTCAGGTCTGATTGGTATTTAAGTGCATTCAGCAGATAACCCAGGATGTTACATGACTTCGAATTATGTGACTAGATTATTCAGCAGATGACATGCTCCCACTCAAGACTGCACAGACAACATTTCCTCAAACACTATTGTGGTAACTATGCAAAAAAGCAACTTTTTTGAAGAGACGGTTTAAATGAAGACTAAAGAATGAAACAGGATTCTTTACGTATCCCATTTATACCTGCTTATTGCAGAGGCATAACTTAAAAAAGGTATGTTTTACATTGCAGAGGGATAACTTAAAAATGTTTTACATCTAGATGTAGAATGAGCTAAGAACCAAGTTTCTCATTTGCTGCTTTTGGCATACGTTATATGTTAACACAGAACTGTGCAAAAAGCTTTATGAATCTGTTCAAAAAGAAGGACAGAAACTGCATTAAAAGATGATGAACTGAACTGTAGCAGCTGAAGCGCATGTCATATTCTGCTTCACTAGCATCACTATGTAACTGGTAAACTGCAGCAGAAGGGAACTAATATCTAATACTGCACTCACTGGGCCAAGAGCTGTGGTAGTCAGAGTTGCTGTCTCACAGCTTAATTCAGGGTTAGTGTTCAGTACTGAAAACATTGCAAAGAAAAAGAGAAAACACCTATCACATGCCAAGGATCGCAAGAAAATCTTTATTTCCTCTGCCATTCCCAGAGTACACTTCCTTTTTGTCACACTTAAAAGTCTAACTTGTGAATTTACAAGGGACTTGACATCTGTGGTAAAGGGGTTTAATACTTAAGCTCAAATGTCTTCACATGTAGCTTCTACCTGCAGTTCTACAGGAATGCAACTATCTTTAGGTATACTTTTCATCACATAACTTCAGGTTCAAGACATTTCTAAGCAGAATTTACTTCGCAAAAACCATTACAGCAGTGAGATGTTGTACCAGCTTTGTACTTTTCAAAATACAAGTCAACACGATCACTGCAATTACACCCATTCCAACAGAAGCAACTTTCCCATACCGCCACTGACAAGCTGAGCAGTAGATTTGCTCCTCATCTTGTAAGTAGGGGTTACAGTTTTTATTTTAGGCATTTCCTTTGTCAAAGGACCTTAACTCACTGAAAGCTGCGTATTGGTTAGGAATAACACCACCTGAAGCAATACCATTTCTTCTCTAACCACTGTAACTCACTTTTCATAGATACTACAAGTCTCTCAGCAGTTTTTACATCAACGAACCTCTCAATTTACAGGGCATATAGATATATTATATCTTAAGCACAGAATACACATGAAGTCACAACATTAAGAGATCACTTAAAAAAGACTGGAACTACAAAGTCAGGTTAGCTGCTATATATAGAGTAACTTGGGGTTTTTTGTCCTACAGCAAACACAATGTATGGATACTACCAGTTGATAAAATAGTTGTGTTTGTGATGACATGAAAGCAATGCATCTGCAAACTTTACTTCATACGCAATTATTTCACTGTGCTTCAACACTGTCAAAGATTTTGGGGCAATATCCATGCTAGAAATAACCCGGCATTATACATGAGATCCAGCTCCATATATGAAACATATAAATTCTCAGGATTTGAACCCTAGAGGGACACAAATATCCCCTATGAATTTTTCAACAGTTGTAGGAAGAATCAGAAGTATCACATAGCCAGTGATAATTCATTTCGATCTAAGACTATCCATCAGCATTCAACATTCTTATCATAAGCCTAAAGCCTTTATAGAAAAAGCAGTTTATTAGGATTTCATAGATGTGGTTTGAATTTAAACTGTACAGGAACTGTATGAAAACATTCCCAAAGAAGGATGCTCCAGGTGCAAACACCTTTATTAGGTATCTACACATGAACTAAGTGTCAAAGCTTCCACAAAAGAGAATGGCATTATAAAGAGTAATGCTGGTGGCAAAATACAAGGGGATATTTTAGGATGAGCCAAATGATTCGCTATGCTTTACTGTCTGCAGTGGGAAGCAGTCCCCTCTGAACAGGTAGACACATGCTTAAGTGTTTGAATCTGAAGCTGAATTCCAGCTGTGGTTTCTTACAATGATAGAACCCAACTTAACGACAACGTACTGCATCATAAACAGTCAAAGAATGAAATAAGATGAAAAAGGAGAATTAAATGAACAATTTTTATTATTTTGTTTTGTAATGGTTTCCCTCCACAGTGTAAGAGACAGGAGAGACCTTGGTGACTGCAAGAGTACAGCTCGACAAGTAAACTCGAGCATGGCTGGGACTGTTCCCAGATGCTATAATGGAACCATCTGCACTAGGGAATTGTTAAGAGAGTCTGCGGTGTGAGTCTGGCCTGCTCCAACCAGCACAGCCCAGCAGCCAGGAGAGTCCAGGACCTGTGCCCAGCAGGGAGTTTGCATGCGGTCACCTTGTTTTGGAGGCTAAGATGAACAGACACGGGCTGTTCCACGCTACTTGGCTTCAGCACTCAGGAATGTTCCCAAGAACACTGGATTTACTACCATCGCTGTGGCCTGAGCACCTTCTCTATGGCTGCTAGGTAAGAATAAGGGAATTAACTTTGACTGAAGGGCTTCTAGAAACTATTTTCAGAGATACAGAGTTTCACTGGAAATTAAGTTCTGTAAACTGGTTTGGAGGTCCTGTGGCTACAGCCAACATAGAAAACTTCTTGCATCTTTTTCTTCCTCCACTTTGGCACTGCTTGAATGACTGAGCCATATTAAACAGGCCAAAAAAATACAAAACAGAACAATTTTAATTTCTAAAAATTCCTAATTTCAAGTAAAGCATCTAATAAAGTATATAACTCCACTGAATGCCTTTCCTTATCTTTTTAGGTCCAAAATGGTTATACTCTCTTTTTAAAAAAACCAATATATTAATATAGAATAGTTTAATATATTGTTAATATGTAATATTACATATTAATAGTTAATAGTTAATTTTGTATGTTTATATATTAATATTTTAACATATAGTGGTTTTATATATACTTTTTATATAATTTTGTTAAAATCAAGACAATTCTAGAATATGAACCATTTGTGAATCATAGTTTCCCAGGATGCATGAAGAAATTACATATGCTAGAACCTGCTAAAACACCCCAGCATTGTAAGGAGCCATCCAAAAATAACCACTTATTCTTTGAGGTAGTGACAGTCTGATGATTTTTTCCACCTAATTCCTGAGATGCAACATGCTAAAGTAATTGCCCAAGATTGGTTTTCATCATTTATAGCTTGATTAAATAGCTCTCTAAAGCTTAAAAATTGTATCCGGTTCCTACTGAGTTTATTGACAACGTGCCCTTTGAGCTGAAAGGCAGCAGAAATAAGGGCTGAGAACAGTGTGCTGTATCTCAAAGAACTTGCTGAAAAGTACAACTCAGTCTCAGCACCAGAATGAATAAGAAATTTATTTGAACAGTTATTTAGAAATTCCCCTTCTTGTCTTGCCAACTTTGGATCTTAGCATGTATGTGAAATGAACAGTGCTTCCCTAATTCAAAATGCACTTGGTTCAAAGAGGAAATAAACATCAACAAAAGAAATTGTGGGATATAAAGTGAAGCACTGAACATGGTGTGGTAAAACACAAAGGAACTGACAATCACCTAAATGTCTGGAAGCATCGAAAAGAAACAGCTGATTTGGATCAAAAATAATGTCTAGAAACAACACTTCTTATGTTCTCAAATGCTTACAGATTTAATGTCCGCTCTGACAGCTGTCTTTTAACATCTTTTAAAATCTTAGTAATGATTCGAAGTTGTTAAAACCTAACTAAAGTGCCCTCCCTTCCCCCCTATCTTCATAGCAGAATTTGGTAAAGAATTTCTACTTTACAAAAGAACCCTTAGACACTACTAGCTAGTTAGAATCTCTGCTAATACAGTCTTCAATGAAGCATGGTGCCTGAAGCGAAACCAGAAGTTTCTGCTAAATTCGCTATCCCTTTACAGATTAAGTCTATACTTGTTAGTTACAAATTAAGTAAGTAGAGGGAAATCTGTTAATAAATAAAATTACTGTAAGGGAAAGAATTCTCTCTGGTACTTTCTTACAAAAAGAAATTTCAGTATGCTTACTCTATCTCCACTTCTGTATGCTTCTCATTCAGTCATGTGCACAGAAAGAATGCCAATGTTCCTGGCACATTTCAGCTATACTTAAAACTCCGTTTATCTTCTCATTTGCTGCTTTTATTCTGTAGTAGAATAAATGCTAAGAGGTTTTGATTCTAAATCATCCCATTCCTGTTTTTCACTGAGAAACTATAAAGCCTTCTATATTCCTTCACATCTTTCAACTGCTGTAAAATAAGTCAAGCATTATGAATAATGAAGCAGAGACAAACCGGAAGAGAGACCTTTTGGGGAGTGACCTTTAATGTCAGGTTCCAACATGTGAGTTAAAAATCAAGCCATGCAAGCATTTATCACTTCTGACAGGAATCAGAGGCATCCCAGCCACAGATGAGCAGGAACTCAGGACTGCCCTACAGCACTGCTGTCAAACACGCAAGCTGAGCTCCCCTTCATGGACACCAAGAAAAGTATAAAACTGAAGTCCGTGGTTTTAATGTCATCAAAGACAGATTCTTTATTTTCTTTTTTTTTGGTCAAACATTAAAGAGTATATGAGCATTGCCCACTCAGGGCAGTCTTGGTGTCACCGCCTGACATTCTGGTCATAGTGGCACACTTTGTCCATCACGAAGTGCCACTGACAGAGGTAGACACAAGTGATGGTGAAGACAGTCTCAAACACAGAGTTTTAGTTTGTTTTTTTTTTTAAGTTTAGAAAGAATGGCAGTATAGGCTATTTTGATCCAAGAACATGCGAAGAGTCAACTTCAACAAATGCTTATATACCGTTTCTTTCCCTTTTTAAAAGGAAATCCTGACCTCCAAGAATTCCTTCTGCTAAACTATGTTATACTGAGACAAAAATTAAACTTAAAACCCTAACAAGCCTACAAATGGCTATTTGGGAAGTGTTCAGACAACATACAAATCTGTATACTGTTGCTGCTTATCTTTCACACATACCAGCAAAGTTGATGTAACTGAAAAACCGTGAAGTTGTACCTAGTATATGTTACAGTTTAATTGGATTCAAAAACACATTTAGCATATGGACATATGTTTTTTAACAATGTTTATCTAAATACTTAAGTATACCAATCTTAGAAGTATCATTTACAATAAACCAATCTCATACCCTGAGAAGACTGCGATAGATAGTCTCCACATAGGCAGGAGCTATAGCAAACATATAAATCCTGTGAAACAGAAATTCTGTGAAATCTACTTGGAGGCTAAACTGCCAAATCCAAACTATCTTCAAACATCACCTCTTCTCATAAGGAACATGACTTCTAGTTGCATAATTAATGTTTTAAAGGAAGTTGTTCTTTTCTGGATTTTGCTATTTTAGAAAAAACACACTGTCCTTCAGTTCACCTATGTATGAATGTCCCATTGTTCTGCCTTCCTTGCAGAACTTCCCAGATATGATAGCAGTTACATTGTTGGGTGATATATGCCAAAGAGGAACTGAAAACAAATTCAAACTCATGAAAGAATGCTCTTCCAGCTCCTTCAATATCTTGGCCATTTCTTGTATTACTGTTCCACACAAATGTCACAAAAATATTAATATAGTGTGAAACTGTTTGGAAGTAGGACACACGAGAAGACATCTTCTGTAAATCATCACAAAAGGACACAGTAAGCTAAAATGCACTGAGCAGGACTTAAAGCCAGAAAAAGATCACTTTAAAAATCTCATAAAGTTATTTAGTGAATTCTAACTTCACGTCCTTCCAACAAACACCAGTTTTCTGTGAATATTAACAAGTATAACAAACTGAAGTTTACATTTCACATACATATTATTTGGTTTATTAATATCTGGATATTGTTCATTGCACATCTGAGCTCTCTTTAGAATGAAAGAGCAAATTAAGTTTTACACATACCTGTAAGACACAAATATGCAGCTAAATACCGTTTTTCAAGGCCATCTTTATAGGTCTGAATCGCACCATAGATTGGAGGTAGAATGAAAATCAGGTTACTCACTGTGTTCCCTGTGGGACAGAAACAAAAATCAAGGGCTTAGAATTGGGTACTGTGCACTTTAAATAAATAAAGCTGCATTCACTCACTAAAGATATGTTCAAGTAGCTTTCATCCAGAAAGTTACACCCTTTTGGAAGTTGTCTTCTGCTTTCACACATAATACAAAGTTAAATTTTGGTACCACACAGTTAACTACTTGAAGGCTAAGAACTTTTTAACTCTTTTGTCATTTTCACATGTATGAATAATAATAAAATACTAATTTAACTAAAAAGTTTGACTTAGATGGTGCTTACTTTCTTGACAGGAAGCAGAAAAACAGGGTTACCTTGCCTGCACAGCTCATGAATTAAAATCAGATTCCTTAAGGAGATATAAGCCCCAAATAGTTCAAGCCTTTTTTCTTCAACCTATTCTTGGAACTCTCTTCTCCACACTCCCTTCAGATACTTTAAGGTGACTCATTCCCAAATGAAACCAGTTCAATCTTTACTATTAGTGCACTAGTCACCACGCACACACAAGACAAGCCCAATGGGATGCTACCTCACAGATCATGACGTAAAAGTAAAGACTGTAAGAGGGTACAATAAGGAACAGTAACAAGTCAGGAGCCACTACTGACCAGCATGATAGGCAACTGTCAAAACTTATCAGGAACCTGAACTTCAGGAAGACACCACTGTTCTCCATCCCTTCCACTGAAGCTAGGATGAAATGCCAAGAAATGACACATGTTGTAGAGATCAGAGAAAGCAAGAACAAGCCAGGAGCCCAGTTCTCATACCAAGGGCCGTGACAACTCTCCCAGCACTGAAGAAAATGAAGGAACCTTCTTCTTTTCTTTTTTTTTTTTTTCTTCAAGACAGCTCTCCCACTCTGATTTAGATTTTTTTTTCAAACTGTCCTGGCCTATGCAAAGTACAATGAAACATTGAGAAGTTTAAAGGGAAGGTACCATAATGAAATGGTGCATTTCTCAGCAGAGGGGATGCAGATTCAGCTTTTTAGCCTAACCACATATAATAATTTTGAGAATAAAGATTATGTAATGGGAATAAAATGACATACAATTTGGGAAAAAGAGCAAATCTATTTAAAAAGGCAGAATGTTGCTTGCATCAATTAAACTGCACACTTTCACATGCTTTCAGTTAAATATACATAAAATTGAATCTCTAATTTCCAAATATCTCAATGAAAAGTACAACATATGAGGCTACGGAGAGGCCAAAAAACCCTTATTTTGGGCTTCTTTATTCAGCAAAAAATCACAGAAGAGTTTCACTTTCTAAAACAAAAAACAAGAGTGAGCAGGGCATGTCTGAATCACTCCCCTAATTCAAGCACTTATTCTTCAGGAGTCCTACTTCCCAAGATCCATCCCAAAGTAAAAACTACCGACCTATGATCATACAACCCCAAAGTATTACAGTACCTCTGGGAACAAAAATCCATACTTTAGAGGTTTACAGAAAATTCAAACCCAAATGGAAAAAAGGTTATTTCAGAACACACGAAGCAGAAGTGTACCTAAGTCAACTGTAACAAGTTAGCTCTTCTAAATTCTCACAAAGTAGATTCAAATCACAGTTTGAGACATTCTTCTCAACCAGAAAAAGAAAATGCATCTAATTTTTCAGACCTTCTTTAAATCACTCCCTTATTGATTTAACATAATCTCCTGCACAAACATTAATTTCACCAAGTTATAACAAGCTAAACAGAGATATGCTGGAGATCTTACTCTTCTAGTCAGCTCTGTAGTAAGCTCCTCCATGTAAAAGAAGCTCAGCTGAAATCAAAACAGCTCTGTGGAGACATACAAGTTTATACCAATACAAAAGGCCTTCTTCATGCTTAAATTCTTTGGGGAATCATTAACCTTTTACCACATTTCCTCAGTGTTACAAGGGGCAGTGATTCACTTTCAGTGGAGACCAGGTTTGGAAGAAATCCACTAAAATTCAGTATTGTGTGATACGCTGACCATTACCACGTCCTCCCACAAATCACACAAAGACATCATCCGGCCTCAAAAAGTAGAGTAAAGGCTATGTAGTGTGGATAGCGAATCTTCTGCTTCCTAAAGCAGTTCTCAACTATGCCCAGTTTCAAACGAAGTTATTAGACTTTATATAAATATGACTGTTCAAGGTCATTTCATTATGAAATTGTCAAAAACCTGGCAAAAATTCAAATATGAAAATGCCAAACAAAAGAAATACCATGATGCTTATCTGCAATTGGGAAGGCACATGATTACAGAAGAGAGTTGCAGTAGGATAACAAACTTCAGATAGATGTAAGAATGGAGGAAAGAGATTCTTCTATAGGAAAGCAAAGGTTTCAACACTTCCTGTAAAGCTATAATTATGTTAAATTATGGAAAATTTATGAGCGCTTAATCTAGGACCATCTTGCTGAGAGAGGAAATACTGTAGACCTAATCTAGCTGTAAATTCCCGCCACTCTTTCTCTGCACTTTTTGGCCCATATTATTCAGAACATTTATAGCATGGATTAGGCAAGTCTATTTGCAAAACATACTTCTTGAAAGTTGTGCAGATTTTTTAAAAAGGGAAATGGGGGTGGGGAAACAATGAAGTCTTCTGGCATGCTGCTAGCAAAATTACTTCTTTCAAGAACAAAAAGTACAAGGCCTCTTTCAAACCCAAGGTCCAAAAGAGTCTGTATTTCATAAAAGTCTAGCCAGTCTTTACAGGATTATCCTCACATAGAACAGCTTATAAATTCATTAAAAGGGATTTTTACTAATTCCATCAAAAAAAGGCAGTGGGATATGCAAAGAGATTAGCAAACAATACCAAGAAAGAAGGTGACACAACTACAGACCCATAACTCTAAAGTTAATTAACTTTTTTCCTATTTTCAACTTCACTATCTATTTCCTTCAAAACCTGTTTCACTTCCTTTTCTGTTAATCTGTCGAGAATCCTAATCTTTTTCACCAGAATTTTTTTTCATTTAAAATTCTTTAAAAAAGGGGAAAAAAAAAATAATGCAGCAGACCTCCTTGGGAAAAAACAGAGATTGGAGAATTTGCAACTAAGGCATGAGGCAGACAGTATGCAAAATAATTAAAGAGACTATTGGTTATGCCTGTAAGAAATATAGTATATCAGAAATTATTAGATGAATGCACATGGGTGGATCTGAGCTTAACTCTGCACAGTATTCTTATATTTCAATACTGAATTCCTTGAATACTGGTTCACAGAGTGATCTAATTTTTCCTTCGTGACCAAAGACTGCTTCTCAGCATTTTATTTTCAGCAGGTCTGTCAACAGAAAGGAGGACTAGATTACCAGAGGAAGAAATTAATGAACTTGTGGACTGAAATGACAGGAACGGGATTAAATATGATGGCCAGGAACATGCCTTTCAATGTGAATATGAATCCTTATTCCAAATGTAGGATTAATCTACCTGAAGATTCAGATGAGTGAATTAAGATTGCATGGTGACTGACCATAAGTCACCACTGCAGGCACCAAACCCCCTAAATTTATTTCCTGTAGAGGCAGGGAAAACAGTAATGCTTCATGCAAGCCAACAGTAGAATACATTGTTCTCTAGTAATTGGTAAAAGAAAAGAGAAAGCACATCAGGTACAGAGAAACATCACTCAGGTGGGAGCAAGGAACAGGAGCTTACAAAATCAGAAGGGACAAAAATTGCTTAGCTCACCTAGCCTAATAAAACAATGGTTGGATGGAATAAAACTGTACTCCGTAAATACACCATGGGTACATGCTAAGGACAAAAGGGAGCTCTTTGATCTAAAGGATAATACTGACAAGAGAATAAACAGCTACAAACTAATACTAAATAAATGTGAGCTAGAATTAAGAGGAAAGCTTCCAGGTATTTACAACTGCTTCCCAACAGGAATGGGCAGCATAATGAACCTACTTGCTGTCAAGGTAAAGCTCAGTAAACTTAAAAGCCAGATGACATGATGTGGTGGCCTGTTGCAGTAGTAAAACAGACTATGTCCACAAAGATTATACACTGTACTTGGTAAAGTGCTGTATTAATGTCTAATCATGATAAATACAGACTGTGTGACTGACCTTACAAATTTTCATAAAAGTCTTCCAAGTCGGTTTTAATGCAAACCATTGTTTCAAAATACTGTTTTATTCATTGAGAGAATACCATATGGGTACCAGAACAAAATCAATTTATGCAAAACATCATTTCAACAGGCCTCTGTCTATGGGAAGGACAGCTGTATGAGCGTTAAACCACATCTGCACCCAGTTCTACAAATACAACAGCAAAATCCAACAAGCCTTTTTTACAATGCATGTACATTCAGAGTAATCTTCAAATCCTAAAAAATACGCATATTATCATAAATACACAAAGATCTGTACAACGACTGACCACCTGAAAGACAAAAAATACAAACTCAAAGAGGAAATAGTATTTACAGGCAAACATAGTCACAATATATTGCTTACAGTTATACAAACAGCCCGGTACAGTTAGAGAGTATACAAATTTGAAGGACCTTACTTTCATAAAGTTTCTTCAAATATGTAGTTGTTCACTACAAGTTGTTCATTATTAGAGGGTTTACTAAATTTAAAGAAATGGCAAAGCAACACAAGTCAGGCACATTTGAAAGTGTAACCATCTACCACTAGGTATCCTCTCTTTTAAATAAAGATTTTTCTCTTGGAAGGTTCTCTAGGGATATGAAACCAAAGATGAATACACACAGAGAATAACAACAAAAGGCATAAAAAGAGTAGTCCTGTGGCCCAGCAGCATTAGATAAGGTAGAACAATGAAAGACAAAAAGGTGTTTGGAAATTAGATTTGAACCGGAGGAGTAGGCAGCCTAACAGCTGAAAGACAAGAGGAATCTAGAGTATTTTCATATAAGAATAAGAAAATCATTCAAATCTAATATGCAAGTCCCTGCTAAGACACAAGTACTTCATAGCTACCTTGTCACAGCATTGCAAGTGTCAA